TGATGATCGTAGGCCATTACTTGCAGTGTTTTACCTGTAAATAAAATTCTTTTAGCAATAAAACATAGAAAAATAACTATGATTCTTTTATAATCTCCGCGTTATTTTCAAATCGTGCTAGCACACAAAATATTGAATACAGTAATTATAGTAAAATTGTTTGAAGTTGATGAACAAATTAATGTTACTCATATAATGTTAAAATGTTGTGATATAAGTTTATCTAAAAAGTAATTGTCGACTTCAATATTACCACATTAAAGCAGTATTTGAAATGTGAATGGATCATTAATACTTCCATATAAACACTGCATACTATGACAATTTTATTTCATGTTATCTCAACAGAATACTTGAAAAATTAGCTGAAGCCCGCCGCGGCTGGCGCGACTGTGCTACCATCTACGGTGGTGGACTTATGGTGGGCAATTGGGTTCCTTGCTCGTCATGTTTTACTAATACTTACCCGAGGAGTCGAAGTCGCCCCTAAAAGTTGGCACAAAGTGTCTCTACTTGTTCTTATCGGACACTATGGCTGTCCTTGTCTTATACATTTAGTTCACAAACCCATAGATGGCGCCACTAGTTCAAAATGTAGTTCCACCCAGCAATTAATTCTTACCGCAATTTACGAACATTATTTTAAAGTATTAATATTGTAGCCAATAATTATTTGTTTTCTAAATTAATTTTTGCCATATGATATTATAATTTTATAAATTCCGTATGTTATTAAAACTTAATAAATAGAGTATATATATAATAAAATAGAGTAATATAAGTAGAATATATAATAGAGTATTTATATAATAAAATAGAGTAACTCGTATATTATTAATTATTAATAACATTAATATTTTACTGTTGCTATAATTTGGAATTGGATTAAGATTTCTGCTTATGACAATTCAAAATTTAATTAAATTTACGATGAGAATATTGAACGCAAGTTTAATTCCCTATTACTCCAATTTAAAATTGCATTAGAATTTGATATTAATAAAATTCAAAATACAATTAAAACTTGCTGTCGCTTAATTTATTCGAAATTAACAAAAATCCTATTATTAAAATTCAAAATTGG